ATCATTTTTTGAACCCAGCACTGTAGTTCAGTGAAGATACAGCACTGCAGGTGGGAATTTGGGAGTCATTATTATATGGGTGATGATGTTGTGCGGGGAACTATGTGGGAGACACTTACAGCTAAAAGGTGACTTTCGGAGAGACAAAAGGCCCTAAGAAAGTGAGCCCTAAGCCAAATAGACATTTGGAGTTGAAAGAATGAGAGGAGAAAATTTAAGCAAGAAGAGTAGAGTGGTAGACATCAATGATGCTGGGTCAGGAAAGCAGGAGTGCTGAGTTATGTCAGTGTGTGGCGGAAGACAGAATTCACCACTAGATTGGAAAGCTAAGAGGTTAGTCATGAGTGTAGCAAGGGCAGTTTCATCAGACTGTGTGCACACAAAGTGGATTTGGATTGGGTCCTAGAGAAAATAAGAAATGAGGAAGTATAGATATAGTGAGAAATAATTTCTGCTTCTTACAGTTCACATGGGTTGTACAATTACACATTTAAATAGCGATGGTAATGCAGAAAGTCCCCCACTTACAAACATTCATGTTGCAAACTTTCATAGAGGGCTGTATAAGAATCACTTTGTCGCTTTAGGGTTAGGCTTGCAAGTGAATCCAACTTACAAACAATTCTCCCAGAATGGAATGCCTTCCAACATCAGGGACTTATAACAAAGACTTTCATAAACAATTAAAAGAATATGTAAGTGTTGGATGACAGTCTAGAGGAGAACACGGTAGATATAGTTGAGTTCAAGTTCCAGTTTTGTTGTTCTGTAGCTGGGCAACCCTGGCAAGCTATCTAACTCATTCAGCCCTACTTTCTCAAAGATAAAAAGCAGACAGTGATGATAGGTGGGTAAATTAAGACAAAATGCCTAAGTATTTCACATGATACAGGTCATCCAGTAAAGGCTCAGTGAATGGGGGTAAATTTGTATTCCTGTGATTGCTATCTTGTTTTTGAATGGTGCATGCGGTGCAATGTAGTAAACAGAAGATAGGCTTATGCGGTTTATTAAATACCCTGCAACTTAGCAAACAAAAATCTTCTAATAAAGAACAGAAAAATGAAATGCAGAGGGTAAGCCATACCTTATAAATCACAGGTTTTCGTTCATCTTATTTTGTGTACGTTCCTTTCTCTTATTTCCTCCCTTTAGTAAAGTTGTACTCCATGAGCATCATAATTAAATCTGCAAGCCCTGTAGAGCACGTCTGTGGCTGCCGTCGCCTGGAATTAGCTGCATATTCTGCTTCCATCTTTCTGTCCTTTCCAACCCCATCAGCAACACACATTGACGGTTTCTTGGGTATTAAGCACTTTCTAAAATAATTTACAGCTGTACCGTCCTTCAAATCTCATCATAGGAGGTGGCACCATTGTGGTCTTGCCTTACGTAACAACAGCACTGCATCCTAAGAACTGTGTTGTTCCGTGATGTCATCACGGTAGGAACACCGTGGGTGTGCGTCCACAGCCCCAGCTGGGACAGGCGGATCACCGACCTGTCCTCTCGATGTAATCAGCAGACTTGGTAATCATAAAATCTCTGAGCTGCCAGTGGAGCACTACATACTGTTTTGCAAAGCTGTTTTCTAATAACTAGGAGTACACTCTGAAATATTGATGAAAGTATATGATAGTAAATACGGAAAGCAGTAAGCATCATTTATTATCATTATCAAATATGTGCTGTACATAATTACATGTGCAATACTTTTGTACCACTGAAGCATAATAGGTTTTATATTGGCATCCACACCTGATTAGTACATCATGGTATGGCATTGTGATGGCTGTGATGTCACTACATGACAGGAATTTTCAGCTCTATTTTAATCTTTTCGGACCATCATCTTATATGCAGTGCATCACTGACTGAATCATTGTTACATGCTGCTGACTGCATTCCTCTATTCCTCATCTATATGAGAAATGAGGAAACTGAGGCACATAGAGGTTAGGTGACTTGCTGGGAAGTGACACTGTTGGTAAATGGTGGAGCTTAGAATTCAGTCCCAGGCAGTGTTTATACCCAAATAAGGAAGAATCATGTTACTCTTAAGACATTTTAAAAGTCCTTATATGCTAAATTTAGTTCTGAATTGCTCTCTGGCCTGATGAGAACACATGTGTATATAAACAGAACGATTGGTATACATGGTCTTATTGGCATACCTTCCGTTTCTTCTGTGTACAGTAAATCACCCAATGTGAGCATTTCCATCTGACCCAAGCTATTTGTCTCCATAGAGCATATTGTGGGATTCAATAAGTTACACAACAACCAAGATTGCCCTTTTCTTCAGCCTGGTATTCTTTTTTCCCATTTCATATCCAGCAGTTAGTACCAGGGCCTGAAACCCTTAGTTACAGAACAAAGTGTCTTAGCAGTAATGGAGCCTGCATGAGGCTAAGAGAAGAAGAATGAACCTTCCCTGTGAGCTTCCTGCCTAGATGCAGGTGCAGGAATCAGGAGGTCATGAATAATGCATGACATGCAGATGAGGCGCCCCTTTCTCCTACTGGGGTTTCACTTTGCTACCTGCCTGGCTGCTGTATGTGGAGAAAAGGCTGCGGATATCAGAGTCTCCATTTAAAGACCCAGCGCACAAAAATTCTGTCTGTTCTTTTGAAGAAATAAAAAATACAAGGAATAGCTGAAGAGAATGCTGTTCTTGTTTTTGGTTTTATTTTGTTTTTTTGGTGAAATAAGCCCAGGTTATCAATGTACTGGGACATCTTTTTTGACTTACCTTCTTAAGAAATCTTACAAGTATTTGGTCATACACATAATCAGAAATCCTTTTTTGAAGATTTTCATAAGGAACTTTTTTCCTAATACTGTTAGACCATTACAGAAATTATCCGTTGATGACATCAGACTTGTGATCAGTGAAATTTTTCTAAAGGGTGCCTATGCCTAGAGGATGTTGTAATTACAGATTAAATGCACCTGTCTCTCTCCATGATCAATGCAGTCAGCAGCCTTAATAGAAGGGAGCTTCCATCAGCCTCCTTGACTGGGGAGAGTTACAATGGTGAAATGAAATAGTTGTTTCATACTTTTGGGTTCGGATGCAATACAGGGGGTAAAGAGTTAAAGGCCATGGAGTAAATAAAAGAACTGTGAGTGTCCCAGTTGCACTTAAGGTGATAAGTTTGGGGCTGACTACTCCTTGATGCTGTGTGACAGTCAGGATTCCCATGCCTAGGGCAGAGTACAGACAGTTCAGGAGGAGTCCCTGCACTTCCTTGAGGTCAGGATACGTTACATGGGGAGAAGTTTCTTGACTCAGATGTCCATTTTGAGGATTATATTTCAAGCAGACAGAGAGAACGGGGAAAGAGTAGTTCTGCTACTTTTTGTAGAAGTCAATGCGTTTTTGGTGCATGTTGCTTTATTTCTCTCCTTATCCCCTTCTGTCATCTGTGTTTCTTTCTCTCTCCCTTTCGCTTTGCTTTCTCGCTCCCATTTGAGGTCCTGGAACATGAGCTGGCTTTCATTTCTAGCTGAGCCTGTCATTTCCGCTAGGCCCCAGTTTGGCCAGATGCCAAGACCAACAGGTGATCCTTGTAGCTGCAAAACAGCAGGAAGTGGGCTGCTTGAATGAGGCAGTTCACCCGAGGGGCTGTCTGGCCTCCCTCCATCTTTCTGCATAATTAACACCCCCTCCCCCATGCCGAGCAGAAAATCTGTGCCGAGCAGCTGAACCACAGCAGCCATTGAGAAGCCTGCAAGGAAAAGAATGTTAATAAGGGATGTTGGGAGAAATCAGCCTTCAGAGTGCAAAGTACAGTTGGGTCTGGGAGGGGACTGGAACTATAGTATCTGTTCTAACCCAGTTCTTCCTTGCCCACACTGAGGAGGAACTGGGGTTTAAAGAACCGTGGAGCTGTTGGTTCTAACTGGACCTGAAGACCAGTTTAAAGTCCTCCTTTTCTGTCTTTCTTGTCTTGTGAGTAAAAGTGGTTTTTGAAGCACGCATTTTAAAGACACCCCAAGCTGAAAAGACTGTGTAGATCTCACAAAGCCTGAGAAGGATGGACCAGAGCAGGATGTTGGCGCTCAGGAAGCTGCAGTAGGCAGCTGGCGTAGTGCTTTGCCAGTTGGTGACTCACGAAGACAGGAGGTCCGGCAGCTAGCATCTGATTAGAGGCCACGGGCAGTTCGTGGAAGCTTTCGATGGCAACCCTGCCTGGCACCAGCCCTGGGAACTTGCCGAGCCTTACACTCACATTCATCAGTTTTGAGTTGACTTTCTGTCCTCAGAACCCAGTTGTACTGCACCACTTCCAGAAAGCCCTTCTCCCCGAAGTACCTACCCACCCTTCTCCCATCGCCAGGATTCTGCATTGCTGCACACTTGAGGAAAGTTTTGCTCTCTAGAGTTTCAAATTCAAAAGTCAGGTTAGATGCTGGGCGTGGTAGTGCATGCCTGTCATCCCAGCACTCGGGAGGCTGAGACAGGAGGATCATTTTGAATTTGAGACCAGCCTGGGCTACAAAGTGAGCTCAAGGCCAGCTTGAACTGCCTAGCAAGACCGTCTCAAAAAAAAAAAAAAATCAGCGTAAGGTTTGACTCTTCACTGTCTCTTCATGCCCTCCCTGCAGGAGCAGGGACAAAGAGAGCGCACTGGGGACAGACACCACACCTTACCTGACTTTTCTCTATTCAGACCTGGCAAAGCTTGGGTGTTCACGGTCACTGAGCAGCTGAATGAGTGCATCAGTTTTCTGAAACTGGTGGTCCTGCCTTGGGGAGCCGCTCAGTAAACAGGTGATAACAAGCCCTTGTTACCTTGAGAGAGGTGAAGAAGGGAAGAAGCCTGCAGATTTGCAGGCACAGGAATTTATATCCATTTATTAAGAGACAGTCAACTCCAGGGAATTTTATATGAAACAAACCTTAAAGCACTTATTTCTAAAATGGATTTTTTTTTTTCTTTACAATCAGGAATATATTCTTTTTCAGTGATTGTATTACTCTCGTTTACTTACAGGGTACATCCATCCCCAGTATCAAGGGTCCGGGGAAATCGAATGAATAACCAGAAGTTTGCTTGGTGAGTATGCAGTCATAAGTTATGGGTATTTGTAATAAGTCTAGTCTAGATGAGTTGTAATAAGGCTGTGTTGCAGAGAATTATTCCTGTTGTTCTGTAGAGAATAGATTTCTAACTGGACTATGCAGTGTCCATTTCCTCTGAAGAGTTTGAAAGCAATAATCATAGTTTCTTTTTAGCCAAAATTCTTACTCAGAACTACAAATGGAACATTTTCTCCGGACAGATATAATCTTGTTTCACAAGATTTTTCAACGGTAATCTTTTAAAAGAATGTTGCCCTGTTTTTTAATGAGATTTACTCAACAACCAAGATGTTTCTCAGGTACCAACTTCACATGCACGTGAAGATTTTCAGTTAATTAGTGCATTATAATTAATTTTTGTGATTACTGTTGAGATGATCCCTCCCACCCTGGCTTTAGCCTTAAGTATCTAGGGTTTTTTATTTTTTAATTTGGAGGAATATGAAGATCTTTAATTGACTAATTCTTGAACAAAATTATAAATGGAACTTACTGAAACAATCTGAAAAGTTACTTTAACAACAAAACATTATTTATTGTTATATTATTTATTGCCTCCTTAAAAGAGGCAATATAAAGGCTTTTACAAATATTCTGGGGAAACAAAATAAATTAATGGTGGCCCTATTTATTTACATTACTGCATTCCACAAAATTAACCTTTCAGCAATGGTTATCAATAAAAGGAGAGAAAAAATAATTAAACTGTGTAGTATATTGCTGCAAAGATCAATGGAAATTTACAAATCTCCACTTGTTATACTTAGCATAGGGTTTTGATTAGAAACTTTTTTTGAAGCACAAGAACGTGATTGCCAAAGATTGAGCTTCCGAATTATTTATTTTTATTTCTAAATTGGGATTATTTTTAGACACAAAATAATGACACTTTGAATTTGAATAGTACCTAATCAGCTCGACTCCCTTCCCCCATTAAATCTAATTAACCCTCACAATAGCTTGGTGATGTTGTTAAATATTATGCTTTTCTTTTTCACCAAGAGGGAAATGAAGCACAGAGGATACAACTATTTGCTTACACACAAAAGCTGGGACATCCTTCATGGCCTCTCACAATAGCTAAAGCACACTGTCCCCTGTCAAACCTGGGAGGCTGTAGGAATAATAATGCTGACACTCATTACATGGAAGGAAAGGGAAAAACCAGGTCCTCTTTTGACTGCATGGAATTTATATTTCTTCTCAATACAAGGCATATTGTGCTAAAGAAGTTTCATTACATGTGGAGAATGCAAGATGCTCAAGTATGCAACATGAACCAAGGGACAGAGAACAGAATAGTCAGTCAGGAATCCACTTTCTACTTCTTCATCCTAAATGCTGAATATGAAACACTGAGTAAATAATAAATTTTCTTTTCTTCACTTTTTCTTGCTGGACTGCTGGAGTAATGCTGTAATTCATAGCATTTTATTTGGTTAATAACAGCTTTTCTCTCCAGAGAAGTAACTCATGAAAAACAAAAAATATTCTGCCTACTAGCCTTGTGAAAATTCAACTCTCATTTATTCAGCAACATTTGTTTATAGTACCAAGCACTAAAAGCACTAGATTAGAAAGATAAGTGAAATATGCTTTGGATATTCTCAAGGGACTGTCTTGCAGGGGAGATGTGTGTGGGTGTCAATGGGTGGGTATGTGGTGCTCTCCCACCCCTCTGGGGTGCATACATTGTTATCCTACCCACATGCATGCACATAGATAGACAGACAGATAGATAAAATGATAATCGTATAATATGTAGTATAACCTAATGTAATAAATACTTATAGAAGTGTATTTATATTGCAATCTTTAGGGCAGAAATTGTCAACTCTAAGTTTGAGAGTGGAGCATAGGAACAAGGGATACTACAAATTAAGGAAGAGACAGTTAGAAAATCCAGAGAAGACAGCTTTTGAGTAAAGACCTAGAATCAGTAGGGAAAAGCAGAGTTGAGCTAATGTCTCCTTTATAGATTGAAACAAGACATATAAAGTCCTAGAGACATTTCTGAGTTAAGTATAGGAAGAGCATACAGGGATTTAATACATATACTTTATTTGGTCAGGAGTTAGCTAAAATTTCTGTGATATATACCACCTTGAATCTTCCTTAGGTAAATACTGTGAGACCGCTTTGTGGAAATAAATCACCTGGCTAGAAAGAAAAGCCCCGTGAATCACCCAGAATATACTTCTAGTGAAGTGATAAACACTTGATATTTTCTCATGAAATATTGACTCTGAAAAATCAGAAGGTTTAAATACTCATCTAGTGTTAGAGAAGAAGCGAAAGAGATAGTTACATTCCTCAAGGTAGAAGCTTAAAAAAAATTACAGCGTTAGATGTCAGGTTCATCACTAGCTAGTCTCCAGTTGAGTTAGATCTACAAACACATACTTGAGAGTTAGAAATAGTGATTTTGTGAAGTAGCTTAGCAAATGTTCAAATAAGCAATTAAAACTTGGTAGAAGATGAAAAGCCTTATTAAGTTATATATGGGTAATGGACAACATTTGAGAGATTCAAGAAGTCAGTGGCTATAGTTGACATCTACCCAGCCAATGATTATTATTGAGTAAAGAGAGTTTAAAATTTTAAATAGTGTTTTTCTTTGCATAATATTGATAGAAGAGGTGTCATCAGCTGGCCTCTTTTGTGTGGTACCATTTCCTCCAGAGCCTAAGAAATGTGTGGACAAGAACATCTGCTCAGGGCAAACAAAATCTGCTGGAACCCAAAGGGAAAATGCTAACAGTGTACATATTCAAGGAGGAGGTGCATATGAGACCTACGATGACAGCACCCGGTGGTAGTTGTATGATGGCACCAGTTTCGAAGTATGTGCTGGTTTAGGAATTAAAGAACGACAATAAACATTTATAGCAGATTGTACTAGTGACCCAATAAAGAATATCAGATCACTGCACAACTTGCCTACTATACAATTAATCAAAGGCAGTATTTCAGATATAAACTCTTATCAGAATGACTTGTCCCCAGTGCCACCACACCGATAGGAATATTTGTCAAGGACTGATGCATCTGTGGGGCCATGTGCAGTTCTTTCTTTGTTTTATGTATCAGGCCTCTTCTCTTCCATCACTATGGGCCCTAACAGTGCCTTCCTTTGGCCAATCACTGTCGTAAGGGAGGGAGAGAAATCTTTCCTTCTACCCATTTTTGGTTCAATGGCTGTGGCCCTGTGAATTAGACGAAGAGAAGATGGGTTAGGAAGAGAAAAAGAACCAGAAGTTTATGAATACGGGGAGTAACTGGAGCCCAGTAATTCAGGGAGGTGGTTAGAATTTAGGTGTAGGAAGCATTTTAACATAACAATAACTTTGTTTAGTGAAGTGATAAGATAAAGGGAAAGGGCTCTGAACTTTTAGAGGTGGCAAATTATGAGAAGACAAATATATGGGGAAACTGGTGGGGAGATTTGGGTTAGTTACTAAGATGTGTTCTGTCAGTTCCTCTGGTGCCTTCCCCAGGTTGATAAGGAAAATTGTCTCTCAGGAGTAAGACTCGCCTCGCCCTGCCTGGCAAGAAAGAGCAAGAGCGGTTTTTCTTGTGTTTGCTTCCTTGACTTGCCTTCAGCCCATAAGAGTTCGTATGCCAGACTGGCACATTTTGGGGTGGCACATGCTGCCATCCTTCATCATCTAACCCATTTTGAAAGCATTTGTCACTCTTGCTCGCATATAATAATACCACAAGAAAATGTTTTACTCCACTTGCGGCAAAAAGGAAATTCCTTATTAAAGGACTGAATGTGGATATGAACATAGACATTTTTTTTTTTTTTTTTTGGTTTTTCTCCGGTACCGGGAACCGAACTCACGACCTTGCGCTTGCCAGGCAGGCGCTTTTGCCGCTGAGCTAAATCCCCAGCCCCGAACATAGACATTTGTTCTTTATAGATATTTTTGTATAAAGCTATTATATCCAGATTGCAAATCCACAGAAGAGTATCTGTTTCCAGATCATATTTATGCTGAAGATCCAATACAAATCTGGAATCTATGTTTTCATGTACATGTGTAGACCAGATCAGGAACGACTGGGAGGGGTCTAGTAGGGAGTATCTGTGAACCAGACATTGAATTGAGATAAAGCTCCAGAAATTTCCAGGATCAGAGTGTCCTGCTCTAAATAGAGCACATCTCTGAATGCTCACATTTACCTTCTCATCCTTTCCTCTGACTCTGTGCTGTTTACTCCACCATCCTGCTTCCCCAAGGTGTGCAGGGCTTAAGAATTTATTGGTTGGCGGTGATGGCAGGGGTGGTTGCATGTGTCCCCAAAACATCTACCAAGGGCTGTTACGTAACAATGACAGTGGCGACTTCACAACTTTTTTTATGACACAGAAAATAAAGCATCTGTTTATTAATAGACACTGTCATCAGTAAAACAGAAGTAATTTTCTCTAACCAATTGTATGCCGTCACAACCAGTCTCAGTTATAATTTATTTCTTAGCAACATGCCTGAGATTTTGTTATAGCCATATACACAGAAAGTTCTAGTTTTAATAGAGTCGCTAGGCAAATTATGATGCAGTCTGGATATGAATCACATTTAACATTTGGAGGTGTAAAAGTTTTGTGTCACAAATTTTTGTAGAGGGCAGAAAGAGCCCTTTCACACTTGGATGTTTTCATGTTGGATGTAGAGTGCTACAATGAACTTAAATATTTATATGCATGGAGCTGCAAACATCAGGCATGACTTTATGGAGCCTTTTTGAAGGATATAACTAGGATGAGTTTTTGCCGTAAAAACGAAAACATTCTTGCTTTTTAAAACTTCTTTTCCATAATAGAGAAAGCGCTGAGATTGTTGCTGTCAGAAAGCTAATGCAGAACCATCCGTTTATGGAGGGGCCGAGCATTTACACATTGTCAGTTTCAGAGTGTCAAGGAAAGGCAAGCATCATCAAGTTCAGGTCAGCCTCCTCACTTTACAT